TATCGTCATCCGTATTTTTTTTCGAAGGTATCTCTTCATGATATCGAATAGCGAAGAATATCGAAATCAAAGTACGATCCGAAAATTCAAATTTGTGGCGACTGCTTATTGGCGGATACAACAACCATTGATGTTACGTCAATCTTTCTTCTCCCTCCGAAAGGAATCCATTTATCGGACCTGAACWTATCGGCACTCSTACTTTTTATTTGAAAACGACAAATTCATTTTCAAATATATATACGAAGACAACCATGAAACTCTCCATTGCCCTTTCATCTCTGCTCCTCGCAACCGGTATGTCAAGAACTATTYGTGGATTCTATTTTGATTTATGTAACGTAAAATCGAAGATTCGATGTCGTCGTTTTCTTTGCGACCGAGAGGTCGAATAGAATCGAATCGACGCGTATGAAATCCGGTTCTCACTTCGGCATAAACGCGAAACATCACACGCCAGATACTAACCTTTTTTCCCTGCTCCTTCGGATCACTACCATTTCTTGCTTATCCAAGGGTCAGCCTTTGCTCCCTCTCGTCAGAGTCGCTCGTCGTCGGCATTGCAGGCGTCGATTCAGTCAATCCAAGCCMGAGAAATTCTTGACTCCCGTGGAAACCCTACCGTCGAGGTAGAGGTCACTACGGAGCAGGGTTTGTTCCGTGCTTCCGTTCCTTCTGGAGCTTCGACCGGTGCGTATGAAGCCGTCGAGCTTCGCGACGGGGGCAGCCGATACCTCGGAAAGGGTGTGCTGAAGGCCGTCGCCAACGTCAACGACGTCTTGGGACCCGCTGTCAAGGGCATGGACGTCACCGACCAGCAGGGCATTGATGACGCTATGCTTGCCATCGACGGAACRCCCAACAAGGCAAAYATGGGTGCCAATGCCATTTTGGGAGTCAGTTTGGCCGTTTCCAARGCCGGAGCYGCCGCCAAGAACGTCCCGCTTTACCAGCACTACGCCGAGCTGGCCGGAAATGRTGAGGAAAAATACACCATGCCCGTTCCCTGCTTCAATGTCATTAACGGTGGATCRCATGCCGGAAACAAGTTGGCCTTCCAAGAATATTTTGTCATTCCCACYGGTGCCGAAACATTTTCCGAGGCCATGCAAATTGGATGTGAGGTTTACCACACCCTTGGAAAAATCATYAAGAGAAAGTTTGGAGGTGATGCTACCTTGATTGGTGACGAGGGTGGTTTCGCTCCTCCGTGTGACAACAGAGAGGGGTGCGAACTTATCATGGAGGCCCTCAAAGAAAGTGGCTACGAGGACAAGTGCACCATTGGTTTGGACGTTGCCGCATCAGAATTCAAGGTCAAGGGAGAGGACGGTTACGATCTCGACTTTAAGTACGACGGAAATGTCATCACTGGAGAAGCTCTTGGAAACCTTTACCAAGARTTGGCCGCCGACTATCCCATTGTCACTATCGAAGATCCCTTCGACGAGGACGACTGGGCCAGCTGGTCGCAATTTACCGCCAAGAACTCCGAACAATTCCAGGTCGTCGGTGACGATCTCACCGTGACAAACATCGAAAAGATCGGTCGTGCCGTCGAGGAAAATTCCTGCACYTGCCTCCTTCTTAAGGTCAACCAGATCGGATCTATTTCCGAAAGTATCGCCGCCGTCAAGAAGGCCAAGCAAGCCGGATGGKGAGTCATGACATCGCACCGTTCGGGAGAGACAGAAGATACCTACATTGCCGATCTAGCCGTTGGTCTTTGCACCGGTCAGATCAAGACGGGTGCTCCTTGCCGATCAGAGCGTCTCGCCAARTACAACCAGTTGCTCAGAATCGAAGAAGAGCTCGGCGCCGAGAACACCGTATACGCTGGAAAGGGTTTCCGAACAACTGCATGGATGGGAAACTAAGTAACGAATAATTTGATTAATGTCTCGTTCTTTTTGAAAGGGGATACTCACTTTCATAATACCATACCCAAAGAGTTTTTTTACTCTCATCGTTCCGTCTTTCCAACACCTGGTTTCCTTGTGGCTGGCTTAGGCCTGGCAAAAAAAGAAAAACTTCTCACTTGTTTTTACTACTCATAGAAAGCTATTGTATGGCTTGGTCTCTCCCTTCTTCTTTTAGTACAGGGCACCRCAAATGCAGTTCTCGTTATCGAGGCAWCAAATCAAAGACTTCTATTATTCACCGATTCTTGCTCACTCCAGTGGAAACCCCGTTACAATATCGTTAGTGGAGTCCCCATGGAGTCCATGGCAGTGTTGCTCCCTTTACCGYTATACTGTGAATCCATGTATYGACCAGGAACAGGCTCAGAGAGCGCTWATTCCATCAGYCAACCACTTCCTCYAGATCTCCAAGTCTCTGTTACTCTCCTATTATCTGTCGTTCAGACCATAGTGACGTTCCTCTCTTTGTAATCGTCTGTTCGTAATCGAACTCATAATTTGCTCCTTTGTTGCAACCACCAGCCTTGTCTTTCTGTCTAGAAGCAAAGGTTATGAGAAAATTGTAGGCTTCACTATTRCGGCCTTGGTAGTCTAACACGAGATCATCTATTATTGTTTTGTCTATCTCCTGCGTCGTGTTTTTCTGTAAGTGTTTGACTAACGGCTGTTGATCGAGACGATAATTCCTCAATTYGTGGCCTTCGTAACTGAATGTTTTTTACCCATTTGTGGTACTTAGATGTCGAAATGCCAAAACAGCCASAGAAGCACAACTAAACTACTAGTGAGGTGTCATGGTCAATTATTTGACCTGGTCGCTAAAGAAGCATGTACTGCGTGTGATGGGACATTCGTTTGATTTTGGGATGGGGAGAAGAAAATAGGTTGTTCTACAACATTATCTATATCTACTAACACCAAAACTGTCTAAAGGAAGTTCGATGTCTATGTTCCCAGCAAAATGACAGGTCCTATGCCGTCGTGGGTCCCTAGCAGGAGAATTGGATTCAACCTTTCTCTACTGCGACAGAGTTCGTACAACGTACGACTTGCAAATAAAATACGAAAGCTTGCTATTGAGTTGCAGACTTACGATGATACTTGGTATTTCAGCAACAAGCACCAATTATTTAGAACATAGGGTTTCCTGCAAGAGCAGGAACGGATCCGTGGACATTGGCTTCGGCAACGAATGACATGATGGCGATCATGGCAAGACGTCCGTTGTTCAATTCGCGGTTTTGCTTTGTTTTCAATGTTTCTGGGTCAACACCCGAGAAGTTGATCGGAGGGAAGATAACGGTAGGAAGATCTCCTCCCTTGGTGTAGTGTGTAGGTTGGGATTCGGAGATGATTTCGGCGAGGAAGATCAGTCCAATAATTTGTTCCTTGCCTGATTTGTTGAGTATGTTTAATGTTTGTACGTGTTCGCATGAATRCATAATTTAATACCACCGTATGAACCAAACGACAGAAAACCCAAGTTTTTTCATCACATTCGATCGGACAAAAAAATGCATCAGAAAAATGCATCCGAAAGGCATCGCGCCTGGYAATTACAACATCACCAACTTTCAAACGACAAAACCACTCACCAGCTTCAGGAACGGCATCCCAAGCATCAAAAGGCTTCATGCTGGAAAGGGATTCGAAAGAAACATCCTTGCTGAGCATACCAGGGAAATGGAATCCGGCGGCTTGGACAAGGTATCCCGTGGTAGCAAGCATAGCAACACGACTGTGCTTCAATTCGGCGGCACGGAACCAAGCGAGGGTTTCCTCACTTCCGAGATCGGCGAGTCCCAAAGGATCGAAGCCCTTGAATGGGGCTGTGAATCCGGCCATCTCGTCCAACTTGGCAGCACTGAGCGCAGTGGTAGCGGCATTCTGTGCGGAAGGGGCAAACGCCGAAGCGCTGGAGGCAAGTGCGAGGAGGAGGGCGGCGATCTTCATGGTGAAATATTACAGTTTGAATTTATTTGTCTTTCACGAGCAAAAGGGGAATACCTTCTTAGTTAGTTCATCTGCTCGATAAGATCGACGTTCTGCTACATCTCGTACATCGGTGTCTTTGCATCACGGAGGAAACTTCAAAAGATTTGATTCAACAAAGTAGATAACCTRAACCTTACATGACTAATTGAGTCTTAAGAACGAATCGGTCACGAATTATCAGGGAAAGGGGGAAGGTATGATCATATCGAAAAGGGGGGATCTATTCAAAGTACGTGTCCCATGACGCGTGGAATGAGACGATGAGAACCCGCACCAGAAGATACACGCGTCGTTGACATGGGTTCATTTACGCGTATTTTTCTCAGTTTGATGGAAATGTGTGTCGCCGGATGAACGGGAAAAACGACAGATAGCCACACACACAGACGATTGTCRTACGTCGTTGCTTTACCTCTTCGTACACACCTTGAACTTCTCTCGACTGTTTTCTATTCTTTTCTTTCCTCCTGTTTCCACAATCCGAAGTTTCGAGGTCGCTCGAGGAAGGCCAAACTAGTCCTCATTGAAGGTGAAAGGTACATCAATAACCTTACCAAAAYCAACTTACCACGTAAAAATAATATAGAACGATGAGATTTACAGCTGCAGCCGTCGCTGCCGTCTGCCTTCTGAGCGCAACGGAAAATATCAAATATGGGGATGCATTCACAGTAACAGCACCGATGGTGTCCCAGAGCACACAGATGGGACGAGCTTCCTCGCTTGCTCCTCTCAACTTCAAAATTCCCAATGGTGGAGAACCTTCGGGAGGAATGGAGGAATTGCTAGAGTTGACAGAGAACAAAATGACTTCCGCCCTCGAAAAACAGGTGCAGAAATCACCATCGTTTTGGAAATTGGCGGGATATGCGACCATTCCCGTTTCGGCCGCTCTAGGATTCGGAATCGTTCCCAGTCGCCGACTCGCTGCCCACGCCGCCGGAGCCATCATCACAGGTGTTGCCGGAGCCGTCGGGAAATCAAAATTGGACGCTGTCACCGAAGCTGCTGCTCTTCCCGCCATTGCCCAAGCCATCATCGATCACGGCATCGAAGATCCAGCAACCACCTATGGTTATGTCAAGTCACTTCAGGAATCGCACGGCATTGTCGACAGCGAGGATTTCCAGCTTCTCTGCGCCGATGTATACAGCAAATACCTTTTGGGAATGGTTAAATTTAACCCGATGCCAAAATCCAGCGAACCAAAGGAACTCGGAAAGCTTAAGGCTTCCTTGGGTCTGGACAACCTTTTGGTGGGAGAAGCCCACGCTGCTGCCGCAGATGAATGGTACAGAACCACTTGTTTATTTACTCCAGAGGAAGATTTGGAGGATCCCGATCACCCAGACCGCCAAGCCATGGACAAGTTCCTTTTCCTGACGGAACGCGCCCTCAAACAGGGTAACGAAACAGACGAAGCTTTCCGATTCGAAATGACCCGTGTTGCCAAGTCCATGAAATTGTCGCTCATGGACGCCATGTTCCGAGTGGCCGATGTCCAACAGCCATTCTATGCACGGGCWCTGGTATCCACTCGTGCCAAACTTGGAGAGGGCAAGGTTTCGGGAGCCATGTTGGAACGTGCCCGCCAAACACTCGGAATTGACGATGATACAGCACATGACATGCATGTCGCCTGCTTCAACGACGAAGTCCGTGACCAACTCGGACTTCCTGCCAGTACCGATGACGACGACGAGGAGGATTCTGATCCCGATTTCGATTTTTCGAAAGCCAAATTTGGTGCCGAGGCGAAAGAGGAGGTAAGTCGTGATCGCACTGATTGACGTKTTGATTGACGACACACGTGGATAGGCCATCAACACATATCTTCGGGTTACATTTCGTGATAAAACTGACGTTCTGTGTTTATATTTGTAATCGATTTCAGTTGGCCCTACTCGCAGAAATTCTTGGCCTGTCCGAAAATGATGCCGCCTACGAAATTGTCGCCGAGACAACCCCATCGTACCAAGAGACAGCACTTTCTGCCATGAATGCTGTACTGGCAGGTGTTCTGACCGCCGATGAGGCTTGGGAAAAGATCGATGTCCGCCGTCAGGAATTGTTGCTTCCCGAAGACAGATGCGATGAACTTCTCTCTTCCATGGTCATCCAATCTCTCGGAGGACCTCTGGAGCAAGCAAACAAATTTTCTAAGGTCAACAACGAAGTTGCCGTCTACGAAAATCTGCTTGAAGTCTTGAATGCGAAAGAGGCATTGATTGGTATTCTTGCGAAGTCTGGATGGGACGACGTGGATAACTTTGACTCGGTGTTCTGCGATCCTTGGGAAGAAGATTCGGCCATCAGCTTCATCGACGCCACAGTCCGKAATAAGCTTTACGACATCTTCCTWAAGCGCACGCTTCGCAATTCACCTGATGGAAAGATCAGTGACGAAATGCACAGTCGCATCAAGGCAATCCAGGGTGTTTTGTCAATTTCGGAYGATCAATCTGAATACGCCTACAACGTTGCATTTGGTCCTGAACTACAGAAGGCTTGCCTCGTTGCATCCGATGAAATCTCCAAAGACTACACTCCTGAACTTGCAGAGAAGATGTCGAGCAACATCAACCAAATCGTTGCGGACTTCAAGCTTTCCGAATCCTTCTTGAAAAACGAAGGGTCGTCGTGCTACAACAGGGCTGTGAAGGAAATCAGCGCCAAGTGTCCAGGTGGTATCCCAACTAAGGAATTGAACGAAGCTCTCGAAGCTCTTCGTGATATGTACCACCTAGACAAGGAAGATACATACCAACCCCATTTGGAATATTTCGGAGAAGTCTACAAAAAGAGCATCCTCGAGTCGATGGGATCTACTGGAATCATCACACCCRAACTTCAGGAAGGTCTTGCCGAACTTCGMRATCGATTGGGCGTTCGTGAAGAGGACACGAAGGACCTCTATTTGTCGGCAATCGAAAAGAAGTTTGTCCCCATGATGGAATGGATCAACAACGAAATGGAACGAACCCAGCTGACACAAAAGCAACTTTCCGAACGCCGGGGTAAGGATATGGGAGAAGATGTTTTCCAAACTGGCAAGGCAGCTGATGGCAGTTTGGGACTCGGTGCCGAGGTAAATATCATGGGAGATATTATCAACCTTGTTGATTTCTAYACCGAAAACAATATCGCCGAAGAAGTCGAGATTGGAACCAAGGAAGTTGACGGAGAAGAAGTACCAGTTTTGGAAACGTCTTACCCCATTACAGGTATCGATACAGAGGTTGTTGACCAACAAATGGCCGAATATTTGTACCGCCAATTCGTCGTTGGAGCATTTTCTGCCCAACCCGAACAGTCAAGCCGATACGAGGCAGCCCGTGCCAGTTTCGGAGGAATTCTCGGACTTACCACCGAAAAGATGGAAGAGATCAACGACAGCATCGGCAGTGCCGTTTACGACAACTTTGTCACTCGATCGATGACGACGAAGGGAGCACTCGACCAACAGGACATGATGTTCCTGGCAAACATCCAGACCAAGCTCGGTCTTTCTTCCGAAGCGGGCGAGAAACTAATGATGGACTCCCAGAGAAAGTTTTTGACCGAAGAGCTTTCGAATATTATCGACGACGATACTCCGGTTCGAATCAAGGCCTTCCGCGAAAAATGCAACGGCATGGGACTTGACCTCTCGGAAGATTTGGGCATCACGAAACACCAATTAGTTGATATTTTCGAGAAAGAAATCACTCCGGCACTGAAGGCCGGCGAAATCACCGACGACAACCAAGACTCCCTGACCGAAATCCAAGAGAGCCTGAACCTCGACACGGAAGAATGCGAGGCCGTGTTCTTCAAGACCGTTCTGCGTCTCGCACAGGAAGCCCTGAACGAAGTCGAGGCCGAACTCATGAGAGGGCGGGAAGAGAACGCCGTCGAGCTGATCGCCATGATCACGCGATATGCCGCATTCTTTGGCGGCGAACTGGACTTTGAGGTCGAGGAACCCACGGCCTGGTCTATTTTCAACGTTTACGACGCTGTTGACTTTAGCGGAGAAGATCCCGAGGCCGTCGAGGAGAAGAAGGAACTGCTGCAAGTCGCCCTTGGCCTCATGGATGCCGAGGACGACGAAGAAGAGGAAGAATAAGCTAGATCTATCCGTTTGCAGTGTAAATTATTTAAAAAACCAAGTTAAATTCTACAACCTTGAAAGCACAGTGTAGACTAAGGTTCGAAGTTTTCAATAGTGTACTGTGTGGATCGTTTCAAAAGTACTGTGACGATTCAGAAACAAGTATTCTACGGCCTGAAAAGTTCCACAAAAACGGGAGATGGACATCCACCAGAATGTTTTCAGGCCAAATTTTTGAGGAACGAAAATAGATTCGTTTTCGGATGCAAAAAACGGCAGAAGGCCGAATCTCAAAACGAGGAACTTTTTCGTTTCAGATGTTTGCGCCGAGACGGATCCTRCGCTCTATACAATGGCTGTCGAAGACCCACCGCAACGCTTCGCTGGGTGTCTTGCCCACCGCATTCCAGCAACAACCACGAGCAAAAGATCTGTAACCATTTTCTCTACAGTAATTTTATGAAACCCTTCGCACCCGTTTGGAATGCTGCGTTTCGTTCTACTACACCGATCCGCCACGGACGATGGCATTCAGAGGCGGGTTTCGGCCGCACCGAGTGTGTGGGAGGGTGTTTTCTTTTTTCCTTTCCTATTGCTGTGCCACGATGCACGGTTTGGTCCGTGCCGTGCGTCCATCGAGTCGAGAGTGCCCCCCCCCCTTCCCCCCGTTGGTGCCCGCGGCTTGGGTTCGTGGATCGGTGGCGGGCCCCGGCGAGAAGCCTCGCCACACGACACGACACGACACGACACGACACGACACGACACGACACGACACGACACGACACGGCCCTGTCACACGCTGGCAAAGCCCCCGGTGCCGGGGTGGAAGGTCCTTCCCCCGCGGTCCTGCTCCCGCAGCGGGTGCACGAATCCCTCGGGCAGGCCGGGCTGCATTTTCTGGGTGTACGGGGTATCCAGGAGGCCGGGGGGCTCAAAGGGCGAGAAGGCGGCGCCCTGCTGCTGCTGGTGCTGCTGCAGGGCCCGGGCCATGGGAGATCGGTTCTCTTCCTCCCGCTCCSAGAGCGCCCGGTCGAGGGCCTCCCTCTGGAAGTCGTCTGCCAGCCGGCCCCGGAAGATGCCGTGCCCCACCAGCTGGCTCAGCTCGGAGGCGCAGGCSCCGGCCGCGTGGATGGAAAGGGCCGAGGCCGTCTTCGACCCGAGGTTGGMCATCAGGAGGTCCAGGAAGAGGTCCAGGTAGAGGCGCTTGCAGCGGGTCTTTCCGACGGCGTGCATCATCCCCGGGAGCTGGCGCCAGAGGGTGGCCCGGAGGTCGTCGCTCTGCGGGAAGTGGGAGACCCGGCAGACGTCGGCGACCTCGGTGAGCAGCGGGAGGAGGACGTCGTCGGCCAGGGGYKGGAGGACCGAGTCGGGCCCGCTCCGGGTCTCGACGAGCTCCCGGAGCAGGTAGACGCAGCCGTCCGTGGCCTCCCAGGGCTGCTTCGGCCGGTTGATCGCGCAGCTGGAGCATCCGATGCGGCCGGCGCCGGCCTTTTTGCCGAGCTTGGGCGCGAGGGACCCGCAGCTGTAGAGCTGGTTCTCGGTGTGGGCCTCGACGTCGTTCTGCCAGGCCTTGTACTCCTCGAGGGTCATCCTGGGCTGGTCCCGGGCCGCGGGGAGGTTGTCCCGGACGAACGCCAGTAGCCGGTCGGAGAAGTCCTCCCCGTAGGCCTGGCAGGCCTGCCCCAGYGCCACGGCCGCGTCGGCCCGGACGCTCCAGATCTGGTCCGTCAGCTGCTCGGTCCAGCGCGTCCACAGGGTCGGTAGCTCGGGGAGGCAGTCCTGGGGGTAGGCCCGGCAGAAGATGCCGCAGGCCAGGCAGGCCTCGTCCCGGACCGGCCAGGACTCGTCGTGGAAGCACATGAGGAGGGCCTGCAGCAGGACGGGAACGTGGGGCTGGAGGCAGGAATGGTGCTCCCCGTCGCCCCCGATCCGCACCGCCAGCTCGGCGACGGCCTGGCAGGCACCCTCCCGGACCACGTGGTTGTCGGCGTCGCACATCTTGACGTAGTAGCGGACGACGGGCGCGATGCTCCTCGCCACCACCCGCACGCCGTTCTCGGGAAAGACGAGCTTCCAGGTCTGGTGGGAGTAGAGCTTGACGCCCTGCGCCAGGTAGAAGCGGTTGAGGCACATGCGGGGAACCAGTACCGGGTAGAGTTTCTCGAGGTTTTCCGGCGGAAAACGGCAGGTTTCCTGGAGGGTGGTCCAGAAGACCCGGTTGAGCACCGAGGCCGCCATCCGCACCTGCGACCAGTTGTCGGCCAGGCCGGCCCTGAGGATCCGGACGGTCGTCGCCCGGAGGCCGCCGGATTCGAGGTGGTGCCAGCAGGAAGCCTCGCTGCCCGCGGCCACGATGAGCTGCTCCAGAACGGCAATGGCGGCCGCCCGGACGTGGCGGTTGACGTGGGTGACGGCCGAGTACTCGAGGTTTTGCAGGAGCAGGTCCATTTCRCTGRTTTCGCTGCCACCTTCGCCCTTGCCYTTGCCTTTGCCTTTGGTTTCGCTGCCACCGGCGTTCTCGCACGCCGCCAGGTGGTCGTAGTACCCCGGTCCGAGGCTGGCGATCCAGCAGGCGAGGCACTGCCAGTTGGTTTCGAGGGCACGCCACCCGGTGGTGTCGTCGAGGGCCCCCGTGGAAGACTTGCTGTACTTTTCTGGGTCGTCCCGGCCCTGCCGGATGTGCTYGTTCACGGACCGCATGATCTGCTCGTGGATCGCGTCGCGCTCTTCTTTGTGGGTCCGGCAGAGCTCGTTCTCGTTCTCGTGTTCGTGTTCGTGTTCGTGTTTGCTCTCACCGACGCCGTTGCCGACGCCGTTGCCGTTGCCGATGCCGATGCCGATGCCGACGCTCCAGGTGGCGTGGGCCCCAACGGCCCTGGCCACGAAGGTGCGGATCCGCGGCTCGGAGTGCTCGAGGTGCCGGAGGGTTGCCTCGTACAGCGTGGTGGCCAGCAGGGAGACCTTCCTCGTCCCGTAGCTCCTCGTGGTCAGAGTGGTCCCGGACCCCCCGGTAGCGCCGGTCTTTTCCTCGGCGGGGACGCGGGGTCCGTCGATGTAGACCTCCCCCCGCCCGCTTCGGGCTGCTTCTTCCGCGGAATGGGCCAGGATTTCCGTTCCCAGGAGGAGGCCCACGGCGAGGCCCTCCCACCGGTCGTGGTCCGTCCGGATCAGGAGGGTGATCTGTTCCAGGCATGCTTCTGCTTTTTCTTCGGYAGTTGCTTCGGCTTCTGATTTTGCTTCGTCTTTCGCCCCGCAAGAATCGCCGTCGTTTGCGGCAATGAGGATTCGTGCGGCGTTCAGAATGTCGTCGGGCAGTGCCGGCCGGCGCCGAGGAATGGACTCCAGGGCTCGCGTGGGGCTGGAGAAGTCCATGGCGCAAAAAWGTCGTTCGGGTCGGTCCTTCTATTTCTCTGTCCTTGTCAATGTACTTGTCAATGCACTTGTCAATGTGCTTGTCAATGTGCTTGTCGGTGCTGGCATCGAAGACCGCGTCGTTTGYCGTTTCTGTTTCTCTCTTGCTGCAAAAACACAAATTGTGTGGGAACAGTGGTGGAGCATTTTTTCATATTTCATATTTTTTGGGTCAAAATCTTGCCGTAGGAGTTCTATGGTTTTTCACGTCACACCTGCGCGCGAAAACCGAAAACTTTCCTTCACCACTGAAAATCAGAAGAAATTTGAAAAAAGATGGTTTACCACCTTTTTCTTCCAACACTACTAGTACTACTACTACTACTACTACTACTACTACTACTACTACTACTACAATTATCGCACTAGGATAATAGTAGTACTAGTAGTAAGAGTGTTTGGTTGTTATGGAATGGATCAAGTACTAGTACTAGTACTAGTAGTACTACTAGTACTTAGTAAGGCTGCTGCTGGTGGTGCTGTAAAAAAGTACTAGGTTCCACCTCCAGCTGAAGTTGCACTAGTACTACCACCATGATTTCATGATGATGGAACATTTAGACTAAGAAACATCATGCATCATTGGTGGATTTCATGTGGGTTTTCAGCAGTCTAGTACTACTAGTAGTAGTAGAAATGGTGAGCAAGAATCATGTGGTGCACCTTCGTCTCCTCTGCACTGCTCCTTCTTACTCTAGTACTAGTACTAGTACTAGTACTAGTACTAGCTAGTAAAGAATTTGAAATGTAGATTTGCATGTCCACTTGTCCTCTATCATAGGCTCAGCGGCACGTTTCTGGCCATGTCATTTGTAATTTTTGAATTCCAATGTACATTTCAATAACTGGGCTGTTAACCCCCTACTATAACCCCCGTCACTGAATTCATCTTTTTACTGAGGTTCGATTCATGTCGTGCTTATCATTGTTAGTAAGCGCCCACCAGCGTTGGGGACCACCAAGATACAGCTCAAACTGTTAGTTCAAGACTAAAACAGCTATACAGTGGTTAAAATAACATGGTATGTTGATTTTTGGCCATCTTTTTAGTACCACCATGATGTAATGACTCATGGGATGAAAAATTTGTGTTGTAGTACTAGTAGGACTAGTAGTAGTACTAGCTACAGCAACAGCAGGTGCAAGCAAAACTATTTGGTTGCAGGATTCAAAAATTAAGAATTCAACAGGTGCTAGTAACTTGTACTGAGCAGGTGTATTTTGTATTTATTTATTTTTTAGTCAAAGTAGTCACTACTACTACATGGGGGGGAAATAGCCCAAAATGTACGACTGGTTTGTACATTGGTCTGCGTATACAATACAGTTCTCCTGGCATGGATTAGAGTGACTCGTGAGATCATAAAGTCTCAACCATAGAAAGAAGTTATGATGCAGCTACTGATTAAATACCAAACTGTGTACTAACACTGTCAACATCTCAACCAATTTACTCTCAGCAGCAAGAAAGCAGCCTGCAGCAAATTTCACTCCTCCTGSTGGATAGTACTAGTAAAATGTAGCTAATTTAACCAAGAACAAGAAGAAGCTGTACTAGTAATATTTTGCTCACTACTAGTTAGTACTCCAATTGGTAGCTCCCATGGGCACCAATAATCAAATTACATTAATTACTAACCCTAGTAGTAGTTCACTGTGTAGTTTGCTATGTAATGACTACTTTCCGGAYTAAGTTTTTTGCATACTGTTATGTTTCAATGTCCATTGAGCATTTCTACATGGTGAAATCCAATGAACCAGCATAGTATATGGCTGAGCACTGTGGTATGAGTCAGTTTTTACCCAAAATCCCAAACTGCATAGTTGATTTGGATGCCAACAACTATGATATGATCAGATAGTAGGAAACGTTAAAATTGTGTACAACACGTGGTGGGAAAACAGTGGAGAAAGCCCTTTGGTACCTTTTCTAGTACATTGAGGATATGCACTTGCAACCTACATAAACAGCAAGTCTGTTGTAGTAGTGCAGGTCTGCATTTCATAGTCATAGGTTACAGCAGAAGTATTTGATAGTACTACTAGTACTCTGCGGCACACAAAAATAATATAGTACTTCTTGGTGGTCTCAGATGCAGAAAGACGTGGCATTACAGCAACTGATATTACATATTTTGTTTGTGGTGGCAATTCCTATTTGTTGCTCACCAGCACCAGCAGTGCTGGTGGTGGTGGTGGTGGTGGTGGTGGTTGTGATTGTTGCTCAAAGAACAATGTCAGAATATGCTATTCTTTACCAATAATATAGTAGTAGTACTAGTAGTGATCAAATTGAAGAACAACACCTTTACTGCAACTACTACTATGATGGTGGATTCTATAACAATTGAAAAGGGTCTTGTTGCCACTGTGCAAATAGTTTTTATTTGAAGTTACCTATAAACTTCAATTTGAAGTTAAGACCTTTTGCTCATACAACATGTACTATCATGTTCTATAGACCTAGTAGTTTTGGGAAATGAATACTGCAAATGGCATTCATGATTGAAAAGAATCTGGACTCATGATTATTGAATGGTGAGAGAATCAATCTGGCTATTCAGCTTTTCTTGCGCTTCCACCAAAACTCCTCGGAGGGAAGCGCCACCCCTCAGTGCAATTCGGAGCATTCCTCATCTCTGGGGCTATGGTTCTGGCCATATAGTGCCTCTTCTAGTTCACAAGGTTAAACATACTACTAGTATTCTTAAGATTGTTTCTTTTAAGAAGATCAACAACATAACAATAAAAAAGAACAACAACAAGAAGCAGTCAAAGAATGGTGGCCCAAATATTGAGCTCAATCGAACTAAAGAGGTGCAAAGTGTACTATTATTTCTGGACAGCGGTAGTAAAGCCAAAAAAGAATCAGTTGGAGATGTCCAGAAATGAAAATTATTTTGAAGCAAATAGGTAGTACTACTACTACTACTAGGTTTCCAGAAATGAAAACTATTCGGTAGATTTTCAAAAATGGTTCCGCTTGTAAGCTTTTTCCACACAAATGTCTGTTGAAAATTATATCGTAACGTACCGTACGAACCCCGTACTATCGAGCATCGAGCACCAAACCGTACACGTACGTACGATATGAGGGTAGTCGTAGTATGTACCTACATTATATRCTACAGTAGCAACTATGAGGGTCACTGGCATGCAAGTACGGTACAGTACAGTGCACCACGAKTACGTACTCGTACCGGTAGAARTTCTCTAGCGCTTCTATTCGTAGGCTACGTGTTCAAACGAATCAAGATCAATTATTATCAACTTCCGTAAMAACTTCTCATCTCGCTCTTTCATGATTTTCAAAAATGACCGCGCGGAAAGAGTCACTTAGCTTATCTCTTCCGACAACCGTCCAATTGGAAGATCCACCGATGGTAGATGACAATACTCTTTGGGAACGTGAGTTCTGGAATAAGATTTTTAATCTACGCGAATCGGAWATCGCCAGGAGACATAATTTCTCAAATCTGAAACGAAAGCAAAAACTTTGCAYATCGTGCCCACAAAGCCTGCTAACGGAACTTCTCATCTACACTCCAAACACATCCAATACAAAATAWTAAATAAAAACAACAAAATGGCTACTGCTGCTTCTCCCCCCGTTCCCCGCCCTCCAATTATCCTCCCATCTAGAGGAGTTGCCCGCGTCAAAAGTGTTTTGAGTGGTGATACCGTGGTTCTTCTTGGAAAGGCACCTGGTCCGAACGAAAAGTCTCCCGAAGTCGTCTTTACTCTTGAAAATATTAGCGCCCCGAGGTATGTTTTATAAAACTTTCGGAGCTTGCAGGAAACTTGAGAATTTGCACTTCAGAATTTGCACTTCAGATCGGTGATGGATCGTCACAAAAGGGTTCTTGATRTTTCATAACTTTTTCCGTTACCTACTTTCTCTCACCTTGCGACTTTTCTGCATTGATAAATCACCACTAAAAATCTGTTGCTTGAATCGAATCAATCCGAATTCGAAACGCGTGATACAGAATGGCATCGAAAGGAAATGCCAATAAGGACGAACCAGGTGCTTTTCTAGGTCGAGAATGGTTGCGAGCATTAGTAGTTGGAAAAATGGTAGCATTCGAGACCCGGAAACAGGGTGCATCCGCTGGTGATCGCGTCTATGGTTTGCTGAATTTCACTCCTCCTGGAGCTGGTCCGGATCAAACCGTAAGCGTCGCCTTGGAGGCGGTGCGAAACGGTTTTGCTACCCCSAGAATGACTCCATCAGAATCAGAGGAAGAAGCACCTGCGGGAGGCCCCGAAGAGGAATGGAAAATGAGTTTGTGGCAAGCATACGACGAAGCAAAACGAGCACAAGTTGGAATTCACTCTGTGTTACCATTGGTTCGAGAAATTAAGAACGCAGGAGATGCATTCGAATCACAAGCGCTAGTCGACATGAGCAAAAAAGTTGGTCGTGATGGAAAAATCAAATGCGTGATTGAGTACATTTTTGATGGGAGTCGCTGCCGTGTTCAGGTCACCGATCCTGCCATGGGAGACCTGCAATACGGAAGTTTCACACTTTTGTTGGGAGGTATTACCAGTCCACGTGTAGGAAACCCACGTGCAGTCCCTCCTACCGAATCCGAAGAATTTGCCGATCAAGCTCGAAACTTTTCTGAACTACGAATTTTGCAACGCGAGTTGGATTTAGTATTGCACGGAACAGATAAGTCAGGCGCATGCATAGTTGGATCTATTTTGCATCCAAAGGGCAACATCGCGGCTGAGCTTTTGAAGAATGGGTTAGCTCACATGTCGGATTGGTCGCTTCGCATGATGCCCCCTGTGGACATTCCAGAATTGAGATTGGCAGAAAGCATTGCAAAGCAAAAGAAACTGAAAATATGGCAATCTTATGTAGCCCCTACACTCTCCGGTCCTTCCGAAATCAGCGGAACTGTCATCGAAGTTTTGACAGGAGACACCGTAAACATTTTACCAGAGGGAGAAGTATATGACTCCGAAGACAAGCTAGTAAAAGTTTCTCTGGCATCTATCCGAGCACCACGAGTTGGAAACGAGCGTGTTGGACGCGCTAGTGARCCATATGCTGCTGCATGCAAGGATCGACTTCGAGTAATGACCGTTGGTAAACAATGTAAGGTTCAAGTACATTACGAACGCGAAATTCCTTTCGGGGCAAATACAGAATTACGACAATTCGGTACCTTGTCCACGAAGACCAAACCGGACATTGGCGAGGCATTGATTACGGAAGGTTACGCTACAACTCAATATCATAGAGATAACGAAGAAACTTCGCCTAGATATGATGATTTACGTGCCGCAGAAAACGTTTCGAAGGCAAGTAAGCGAGGCATGCATTCAGGCAAAGCCGTCAAAACCACATCCGTCAATGATCTTTCCACTCCCCAGAAGGCGATGGCATATTCTGGATCATTGATGCGAGCAGGAAAAATGAAGGCGGTCGTTGAATATTGTTTCAATGGCTCTCGATTCAAGATGTTGATCCCCTCTGAAAATTGCTACGTCATGTTTGCACCGAATGCGATCAGAGTTCCACAACCATCACCTCCAGCTGGMAACGCACGTCAGATGAGACCAGCCGAACCATTTGGTGATGAATCGAAGCGCCATGCTCGACTCACAGTTCTTCAGAGAAATGTTGAGATCACATGCACAGATGTTACAAAAGGTGGCGTTATTGTTGGTTCGATGTTTGTCGGAACAGGCGCAAACAAAAAAGATTACAGTGTGGAATTAGTCACTCTTGGATTGGCCACGGTGGATCAAAGAAAGATCGATTACGGCGAAGCCCCAGCAGAACTTGTTGATGCTCAAACCGCGGCACAAGCGAAGAAGATTGGAATCTGGTCGATTGCTCAACCTGTGAAAGAAGAAGCTCCTAAGCCCGAAGAAAAGGCCGAAAATGAACTTTTGTCCGTCAGAATTAGCGAAATTCGTAGCGGAACCCATTTCTTCTGCCATGTCAACAACAACGAATCCGCAAAAACAATTGACGATAGCATGAAACTTTTCACAACCAACAATGGAACMGAYGSTGCTCCTTGYGAAGTWAAGGTGAACAGGGTWGTTGCAGCTCTATTCGATGATGGAAGTGGAAAAAGTTGGTACCGAGCAAAGATTGTGGAAAAACAAGATTCTGGCACCAAGGCAGTTGTACTCTTTTTGGATCACGGAAATATTGCAACYGTTCCGGTTGCAACGCATCTCCGTCCTCTTGATCCAAGCCTCGGGACCGACCAAATCCCACCAGCTGCAAAAGAAGCCGTTCTTGCATTGACTCTCTCCCGTCCTATTTCCGATGATTTTGGATTAGACTGTGCCCGAATGCTTCAATCGTTGTGCTGGGGTAAGGATCTCAAAATTTCTACCACCGGACGTGATGAGAACGGCAAGATGGCTGTGATAATCACTACGGATTCTGGTGAGAGTATTAACGAACAGCTTGTTGCTGCTGGTTTGGCACGAGCCGCAAAACCKTTTGCTGCGAAGGCATTGGCTGCAAACATGGTGGATGGATCTGCTGTCATCAAGCTAGCTAAGGATCTAAGTGCAGCACAAGAATCAGCTCGCAATTCGCGTGTGGGCATGTGGCGTTATGGTGACATCGGAGATGAAGATGACGAAGAAGGATTTTAAGTTCAATCATCTTCCARCTCATTAACTCTATCCATTAAGTAATTGATAATCGCACTACTAGGATTAAAAATACGATGATATGTTCGACCTTTGGGTTTCATAAGAATTGGAATTATTTGTTACACTCAAAGCGAGAAATRATTATAGGATTCTGAGCTGATCACAATACCGCCAAAGGAGGACTGGGGAGATCAAGTCACTCACTTCGTGCACGAAGTTACCTTCTACGTTATATGATTGGACGATTTTTGCTTKGGGACCGATCACAATGTCACCTGGACCATCAAATTGATATCAATGAATAAAAAAAGAAATGACACAAATTGGAACAAAATAAGATTCCATGCCGTGSCATCTACAACTTTACGTATTCAATCATACATCTTTTGAAACGTACCATCTTCTTTTGCTCCAAATCCCAAAAATCCGCCCGATTTGCTTCGTCCGACGGGGACCTCTCCACTWAGTGTTTTGAAACCAGAAATCATCGTGTTCGGCTTACTCCCATCCKTTGGTATACCTTTGCTCCAGTCCTCTGTCCGAAGAGTCATAGCATCGATTGATTCCCCAGAAATAATGTGATACGCTCCGATTTTCTCTCGGATCTCAAGATTTCTCGGATCATCGATCTGATTCCTCTTCTTTTCGCCCAGGCCTTCAAAGGCAGCCGCATTCGGAACAAAGACAGTGACGGGCCCCTGTTTCATCGCTTTCATCATTTCWTCGTTGACCAATTGGTAAAAGTCTGGGTACTTTTTTTCCAAGAAAGCGTCGAGTTTGGGCCTCTCATCCTCCTCGCTAACTTCTTCGGATGTCTCGGCGAACAAAGTAAAGCGTTGCGATGTTTTGCTTGTTATGGGTTGCAGGCAGGTTACTCTGGTAGCAGAAAAAGATCTGACATCCGCAACAAGTCCCATTACGAGCAATGTGCTGTACGTGACGCCTGTTTTCATTGTTAAGAGATATCAGCTGTGTTCGTTGCTGTCTAATGCGAATCTGGTACCWCACAGTTTAATTCTGAGATTTGTACAATGGAAATTGGCAGTGCGATGTGTGTTAATCCTTGCCGATCTTGTTGCTACCGATCACTGAATCTGTTACAGAATCCCCTTGGTGACACGCAACAAATCTGAAATCATCGAAAAGATGCGAGAACACGAGGGAATGAACACTTCAATTTATGACTGAATCAATCRAAGGCGAATACGTAAGCGTTTTTCCAGCGTCGCGTAACTTTTTCCCGTCTCTGCCCCAATGCRCCCTTTTCAACAACAAAATTCTCAGAATTTTCCTGTCTGAACCTGTGTAGACAGAATCACAAATTCTACACACAAAAATTGAAATAGGAAGACAAGAAACTTTTCTGCTCATACTTTTATTCCCTCATAACTTCCAATTAAGAAAGTGCAAAACAGTCCCAACCAAAAATACCAAATCATCACATAGTAGTACTACTAGTAGTGGTCCTCCTTCTCCAGGGGGACGAGGACGAGGTTCTTCTTCCACCAGAATTTGACAGAGGAGTTGTTTGTTCTTGTCATCATCTAATTTGGAGTGCTGTGTCAATGGCACTCACCTCCATGACTTGGGTTGCTCTTCTTTTGTCTAAATCATGCCTCATCTTGGATACTTCCTCCATCCAGAAACAAAGGTTGCTTAACCAACTTGCTACTGAAATAAGTAGCTTGTTGTTCTTGCTTAGTAGTAATACTTGTGCGTTTTAGTAATTCCTTCTTGTTTTGACTTAATAGATCTATTTTAGAGGTATACATTCATGATGATTAACTATAGACAAAGTTTCTGATGAACTTGCAATGGCTGTTTAAAGAGACCCAATTTTAGCATTTGATTTTCATTCTACCGGTTGAAAGAAGGGTTCTACTACCGGTTATTTCTGAAAGACGCGACCAACAGCTATAGAAAGCCAAGAGTGAGAGCTTTATCATGATATTCTTATCTTACTTATCAAGAATATTCTTATGAACTCTTAGTGGGTCACTATAGGAAGCTAAAAACAGCTCTGGGCGCATGTGGTTTTCATGTATTTTTTTTAATTTTTGAGCTGGAGAACCGATGCAAAGAGAGAAAAAGGCTGTGCGCATGGTTACAATGTGGTCCCCATGATGTTATTTTCATGTTATAATTTCACTCTTGATTTCACTGCACCTCCCAATTTTCTCTTTTCCTCTCTATTCTCATTCTCTTCTTTGTTCCATTCAACTGACTACGACCATCTTCTTTGCACCTTGAGTGACTCACCAACATGAGGTACTAGTACTATGATGACTGGTGTAATGTGTACCACATCTGCACATCTGTGAATCATTGCACATGAACCCTTGTTGCRAAACCACAGAATGCAAATGTTTAGGTTTACAAAAATGTTGCTTGATAAGGTATTCCCTGCAATCTATGAAAAGTGGCCACAGGGATCTGGTTGCACTCCTCTGAATATCTCTATTCAGGAGGATAATGAGAAGCCTCATAAGCCTTCTATGAGGAACAATGTCAAAGCAGTGGTAGCTTGCAAAGGCTGGAATATTTCAGTTAAGACTCAACCACCCAACAGTGCAGATTTGAATGTAGTTGACCTTGGATTCTTTCATTGAATTCAAAGCCTTCCTCACCAGTACTAAAAGAGGTTCAAGGATATTAATCATTTGATTGCTAATGTTGAGGAAGCTTTTCCTGAGTGAAAGCATGAGATGTTGAATAATGTTCAAGGACATAACAAGATGATAGTAGTACTAACCAAGAGTCAATAGAAGACTAATGATGGAACTTGTTGTGATTAGACCATGGCCTACTGGCTTTGTAGTGGCTGTGCATTCCTGCCTGTACTAGCACCACTTACTAATTGTTACCAATAGCCTTGCATGTGCCAAGGAATTAAAGGAGTAGTATAACTCAAAACACTAGTAGGCCAATGAGAGGAAAACAAGATTCTTAGCCTCAAGCTCATCTTGACATCCTTGTATAATTGATACTACCTCAAACTAGTATCTCAAAGAATCACCCTTGTTCCACTTGTACTATTAGTAGCTACTAGTAGTACTACTACAAACCAATAGTTGTGGATTTTCTTCTTTCTTGCTTGTGGCAACAGCAAAAAGAGCAGCAGCATTGCTTGTTGAAAGGTATTTATCAAAGTCACACAAAAAAGATTTTTTGAAAAAGGAACTGTTGTGTTGTGTTGTGTTGTGTTGTGTTGTGTTGTGTTGTGTTGTGTTGTGTTGTGTTGTGTTGTGTTGTGTTGTGTTGTGTTGTGTTGTGTTGTGTT